GGAGAGGCTCCCTCCTCTGCCCAGTGGGCTGATTCTCTTCAGAGACCCCGCCTTGCTTTGTCTCTGGTACCAGGGGCCTGAACTCTCCTCAGAGCCCTTAGTCATACTGTGACCTTTCTGTCTGTCCACAGCATTCATAATTCTAATAAACGCCTTTCCCCCAGTAATCTCAGTATCCTCTGGAAAACCACATCTAAAACCTAACAAATTTGACTGCAAAATTTTTAAAAATGTAAATGAAATTAGATATAACGGGAATAGAAGAGCACATCAGATGCTAAAAACTTTTGCAATGTGATGGTAACTAAGAACTTTGGAGCAGGAAAAACCCGGAAATAGAAATGGGGAAATCTGGGGCTGGAGAGATGGCTTAGCAGTTAAGAGCACTGACTGCTCTTTCAGAGGACCTGGGTTCGGTTCCCAGCACCCACATGGTGGCTACGAACCATCCTTAAGTCCAGTTCCAGGGGAATCCAAAGCCCTCTTCTGACCTCTGAGGCATTGCACAACACAGGTGCACTCACATACATGCAGGCAATACACTCGTACACACAAAATAAAAATAATAATTTTTTTTTTAAATTAAAAAAAAAAAAGAAATGGGGTACTCTTCCCCCATTCTTTGCAGGATACAAGCCTTTGTTTTCCCAGGCTTTCACATTCCTGTAGCCTTGGTGGCCCCATGTTACCTTACTTAATTATCATGTATATGCTATGTACCTTTTGCTTGCATTCCTCACAAATGAGTATAAAAGCCCCTAAAACTTGAACAAGGGGCTGACTCATTGGACTGATCCTTGGGTCAGTCACTAGCATGAAACTCCTCTCCTCACCTGACTTTGGCTGTTGGCCTCTTAATTCTTTCTTAACATAAGGTAAAAGAGAAATAAAAATTTTTAAAAAATTTTTTCAGCAGTTAGGAGCCAGTGCTGCTCTTCCAGAGGACCTAAGTTTGGTTCCCAGCACCCACAGCAGGGTGACTCATAACCGTTAGTAACTCCAGCTCCAGAGGTTCTGGACTTTGCCGCCAATGTACTCACCTGCACATACCCACGCAGAGAAACACATACACATAATTAAAAATAGGAATAAAGCTGGGCATGGGGGCACACATTTTTAGTGGAGTTGTAGGTAGGAAGCTCTCTGAGAGATCAAAAACAGCCTGATCTACATAGAGAGTTACAGGCCAGTAGGGGGCGACAGGGAAAACCTGTCTCAACACAGGTGTGTGTCACGACCAGCTAAATTAATTTTTTAAAAAAAATAAAATCTACCCAGCTAGCCCGACTCGGTGGTGCATGCCTTTAATCCCAGCACTTGAGGCAGAGGCAAGCGGATCTCTTTGAGGCCAGCCTAGTCTACATAGTGAGTTCTAGGCCAGCTGGGGCTACAGGACAGGGAGACCCTGTCTCAAAAACACCAAAAAAAAAAAAAAAAAAAAAAAAAAAAAAATCTACCCAGCTGTAAAAGAAGAAAAAAAAAAAAGGAAAAAAAAAGGAAAAAAAAAAAAATCTGCAATCTACCCAGCTGTAAAGCCTAAAGCCTAAAACAGCAATAACTGGGCATAAGCTATTGCTATTGGTGTAGTTTGGCACTTTTATCTTGGGGGTAATTAACAGCTGTCTAATTGGAATTAAGGTCTGATCAATGGGAGGGAACTTATGTGTGGTACTGTAAACATAGTCAAATACACATGACTGGAGTGGTCATAGATCCTAGAGAAAAACCTACCTTTGTCACATTTGTAGACCAACACAATTTCTTACGGTATTCTAAATATGCATCCTTATATTTACAGACAAGTATACTCATCATTCATAAAAGACAGAGACTAAGCCGGGCGTGGTGACTACGCCCAGACTATGCCTGTAGTCCCAGCACTTGGGAGGCTGAGGCAGGCGGATATCTGTGAGTTCAAGGCTAGCCTGGTCTACATAGTGAGTTCCAGGCCAGTTGGTGTTACAGGGAGACACTATTACAAAAAGATCAAAACAACAACAACAATAAAACCAATTCCACAACTTGTCAAATATAGAGAATAATTGTCTGTGAGATGCTTAGACCTAAGCAACACATCTCCAATGCAACCTCACACACAAGATGAATATGTCTCTCAACTCTCACCAGAGGTTTCCTTATGCAGCAGGTGGTGATTGACAGAAACCCACAACTGGCCAATGCGCAGAGAACAAGAAGCTGCAGAGTGCTCATTGCTGAATGGGACAGGAAATCAAACTTCTGCCTCCCAAGGCTCAGGGATCATTTTGGAAGAGAGGGTGGGAAGATTCTGAGGCCCAGAGGCGGTGGAAGACCACAAAGAGACAGTTTTCCATACAGCAGGTCAGTTACATATATGAACCCATAGCAGTTAGTGACAGCATGCATAAGTCTCATGCAAGCTCAAACCAGCCAAAATCCCAGCATAGTCATGGGGATGTAGGTAAGAAATCTTAACCCAACCTAAGGAACTTTGGGGAACTGGTGACTGCTGGGAGGGGCAGAGACAGTGTCTTGGTGGTTGACCAGGCTTCAGTGGATGGACCCATATTGTACATTTGGAGACACAAATCAGACTCTACAGGTCGGATTGTATATACAGTGGACTAGATTGAATTGGGTGGAGGGGAGGAGATGTAGGGGGAGGTGCAGATGGAGGAGGGGATCTAAATACTATTAAATTGTATGAAAATCACAAAAATTCAATTAAAAAAATTTTTAAGGAGACTGGAGAGATGGCTCAGTGATTAAGAGCACTGGCTGCTCTTCCAGAGAACCCAGGTTTCATTCCCAGCACTCACACAGTGGCTAAGAACTGTCCCTTAACTCCAGTTCCAGGGGAATGCAACACCCTCTTCTGGTCTCCACGGATATTGCACAACATGGGTGCACTTAACACTCATAAAATAAAAATGGTGTTACATTAAAAAACCAACAACACTAATGTAACAGTTTAAAAAAAAAAACCCACAACAGTGAGAGGGAAAAAAAGAAACTTGTTTCTGTGTTCTCTAGAATCTGCCAGGTGGAGAGAGGACAGTCAGAGCTGGTCTATTAAAATGCCTATTATTCAGCAATCCGCCTGTGAGAGTGGGGGAAGAGGGTGAGTTGAGAGCACAGGGATACGTTCACCTGGAAGCTTCCCTCCCTTGTGTCCTGGGAACTGCTGCTGGCCACAGTGAACTGTGGCCTGTGCATCCGGCTTATTCCAAAGACACCCCTCCATCCCTTAAGTCTGCGCATCCCAGAGTGGCAAAAGTCCATGCCTAGGGGTGTCCTCTGGTGGTATCAGAGCATGAGGAATGGAGGAGGGCTGAGCTCGGTACTGGGTGGGGTGGCAAGGTGCTTGACAAGCTGTCTGCCGGGTTCTCTGCCTTCAGTCCCGGACCAGCCGTAAACCAGCCTTCTGGAAACAGAGCAATCTGCCGGCCCTCGCCTCAAAGCTCTTTGTTAAATCGTGCAGCAAACCACAGGCAACTCCGGAGGCCGCGAAATCCGCCAGCCAGGACTTGGAACTCTCTCTGTCTTTGCAGCGATCCGCAGGCCCAGGCACAGAGGGAGGGGCGGCTGAAGGCCCGGCTATGCACCGCGGGGCTCCCGGCTCTTTAAACTCGCAGCGGGTCCACGTCCGACCCTCCCCCTTTGCAGCTGCCTCCGGGAGCGGTCTGCCGCTCAGGCCCTGTGGCAGGGTGGCCCCAGGCTCGCCGATTTGTGATTGTTCCTTGTTTTCAGGTTCCAAGAGTAGCTCAGTCTCCAACAATAGGTCCCTTCTCAACTTGGCACCTGGGTTTAACACTCCTGAAACACGGGGTTGGAGGCAGGGGATTTCTTCTCCGACGCTAGCCAGCAAAATAGGAGGCATTCCCCCCTCCCTCCACTGGATTAAGGCTGGTGAGAACGGTGGGCTTACGCTGCAGCTGGGACTGCCAGTCTTTTGTCACCAGGGCTGACAGGCTTACCTCGTGGTTGAGGCTCCAGCTCCTCCTTCCCCCTGCGGGGGTTGGAGCTGTGGATTGCTTCCTACTTTTCTCTCCATTGCGCTTTCTCCATCTTTTGTCTTCTCTCCTGCCACCTCTTTCTTGATTCCCGATGCTCTCTTTCTGTCCTGGGAATAGGGTCTGTCTTTTGTTACCCTGATTCTTAGTCCCGGACTTGCATGGAGGAAGTTTCCAATCCGCCATTTTACCCTAGACAGCGAACATTTTCTCTTCTGATACAATGGGGAGTGGGCTGGGGAGGGGGCGAGATGCGGAAGAGATCGACATAGTATCTGTGGACTGCCACGTTGCTGCTGGAGAGATGTTTTCCACATCCTTTAGTTCAGATGCTGTTTCCCCTAATTAGGTAATTTCTGCAGTCTGACTGAAACACCCAGACTTGATCCCTGATTTCCCTTTAATTTGCATATAAATTGCGGATTAGATGCTATGGGTCTCTCTGTACTTTCCCATCTGGGTAGGATTCTGAGGGTCTAGATTGCATTTTTTTTTTTTCACACACATTGTTTCATTTAGTTTAGTCATGTGGCTTTTTGGAAATAACACGCTTATGATACGCAGATACCCGCAGCACACTCCAAAAAGGTTAATTAATGCAACTGATTGCATTTAGTTACAGACGCTCCCAATTTCTTGTATGTTTTTGTCTTTATCATCTCAAATATATTTTTTTAACATGAAACTAATATATTTTATGTCAAACCACAATAATTTATCTTGTCAACAAAAATATTTTGACAATAAGTGCATATGAAATGTAAGTTTTGGTTACAGCCAATATAGAAAATTGGAAATATTAAGTGATCAACAAATTTTTTTTAAAACTAGTGCCTGGATACTGTATTAAAACAAAACAGAAAACCTTGATGGTGGAATGGACATCCTGTGGGAAATATTCAGCTTTTATAGGATTGGTGGAGATTTGTATGGTGGTTAATGATTATCACCTTGACAGGATCTGGAATCACCTAGGAGACAAACCTCCGGGCCTCCTGTGAGGGATTATCTTGATTAAGTTAGCCTCTGGGTATGCCTGTGAGGGATTATGTTGATTAGATTAATTGAGGTGGGAAGACCCACTTTAAAGCAGGCTACACCGTTCCCTGGGCTGGGCCTTGGGCTGCCTCGAAAAGGAGAAAGCTGGCTGAGCAGCAGCATTGTGTCAGTCTTCTTCCTGACTCCGGACACAGCATGACCAGCTGCTTCAAGCTCCTGCCGCCTTGACTTCCCCGCCATGCTGGACTGTACCCTGGAACTGTGAGCCAAAATAATAAACCCTTTCCTAAATTACTTTGATCAGGATATTTTATCACAGCAACAGGAAAAGTAACTGAGACACTTTGTCTCTCAAATATCCTGAGCTTTTCAGCATAACCAACTGAAAGCACAGACTGTTGTTTATGCTGTAGCAGAGTAGACAACTGAGATGATTTCCCAGTAGCAGAGTGAATCCAACTGTTGCTTTTGAGCAGGGGTGTAACAGCCATATCAAGCATCTGTATGCCTCTCCTGAAGGTATTCTTATATGCAAATAAAAACAACAGCAAAGCTTCCACTTAACAGTATATAACTCTCCTGGGTGCAACTCAGAAGAAGATTCAAGGTTCTTGGGTGAGGTTCATTCTTTTCTCATCATACTTTTGAATGTGGTTATATGAAGTTAATTGTTATTTATTTATTCATCTATTTGTATGTGTATATGTGTGTGGGTGCATGCATGCCATGGTTTGTGTGGAGGTAAGAGGACATCTTGCAGGAGTCAGTTCAAGCACCTTTACCAGCTTCTGAAGTTAATTATGAATGTAGCCTGTATTAGATGATAATGAGAAGGAAATGAAAATAGTTTGCTAACCAATATACAAGTGTGCTTATAAAAACCCATGTATACTTGCATATAATGCACGCAAACATATTCACACAGATGTGGGGATCAACTAGGAAAGAAGGGGCCAGATAGAAAAGGGGAAGTAGGTTTGAAATTCTCATAAGAGCTCAAGCTCTCCTTCTTGTTGACTTTCTTCAGACAAGTCCCAGCCTTGCTCTTTCCCTTTTCACTGACTGAGTCAGACCCACCTATACTGGATAATCTGCTTTATTTAAAGTCACCTGGCTTATTTGTTAATCACATATGCCAAATGCATTCACAGCAACACCTACACTAAGGTTGAGTCAATAAACTGGAGAGCTTAGGCTGGCCAATTTGATGTATGAGAAGATCACACTAATACAAGGACGGAAAAAAGAGTATATTATAGTAGAAGCTGAGAGAATGTGAAAAGTGTGAAACGCGATGAGGCTCCTTATAGAATACACAATGTGGCCAAGCCAAGATACTTGGGAAATAAAACAATCTGAAAATCACTGGAGGAACTGGGGCTGTAGAGCAGGGATAGAGCATTTACTTAGCATCTAGCATGTTTGAGACTGTGAGTTCCATCCTGAGCACAGATGATGATGATATAAAAAGCATACAGGTACAATCCAGACAGCTCAGAAATAAAAGGTATTGGGATAGATGTAAAAATTACTTAGAAGAATCTATAGTTTTACTCCAAATTCAACTTTTATCTAATTGCTTCAAATTCCTTTTAGACGGTTGTGTTAGTCAGACTTGTCATTGTTGTAACAAATGCCTTAGAGAAACAGTTTAAAGAAGGAAAGATTAATTTCTGGCTCACTATTTCAGAGGTTTGTCTGTGATCAGTGGGGTCCATTGCTGTGGGCCCAAGGTGAGGTTGTTAGCTGGAAATCAGGTGACAGGGAAACAGGAAGGGCCCAGCACCAAGACATGCCCTTCAAAGTCGCACCCCCCCGCCAACCCATTTACTTTAAGCTCCACCATCCACATCACCTGCCAAGAGTCCTAAATTTCAGTCCAACAACGGGTTAAACCTGTGATTAGTTCAGAGCTCTCATGATCTAATCTTCTCTGGAAACACCCCCACAGACACACCCAGAGGCGTGTTTCACTAATCTCCTAGGAATCTCTTAATCCAATCAAGTTGACAATCAAGATTTGCCACCGTGGTGTTGCATATTTAATGAAGGGATTAAACCAACAGGTATTTAAGGAATGGGTGGGCCACTCTGGGCTTTGATAAATCCTGTGTCTCTGTGAGCAGTTCAGTCGGGCCTCTCCTCTGTGTGGAATCCAGGTGACTCTTTCCATTATGGATTTAAGCTGCACTTCAAATGGTAAGTTCCTATCAGACACTGCTGTTTTCTGTGAGGGTGCCAAAGACCTCCTTTGTTTCCCCAAACTCAAGAACTTTTACATTCACAATCATGATTACATTGTTTGAGAGAGGAAGGGAGAGAGAAAGAGCGAGAGAGAGAGAGAGAGAGAGAGAGAGAGAGAGAGAGAGAGAGAGAGAGAGTTTTTTTAGTGATAATTTGGGTCAGTGGATTGATGAGTGTTTTGAAATTACTGTAACTCCAAATTTACAATGACAACCAGGGGTTTTATAAATGAGTCTTCTATCTGAAGTATTAATGTTGACACTTTAGAGCTAGAAAAAAATTTTAATTCCTGATGTTTCTATCTAATTTTATTAAAATGTGTCATTATTCCAAAGTTTAACATTTGTATAGTGATTTTTATTTAACCTTTCAATTTAAAAAAATTTACTCATTTCATTAATTTGCCCACATGTTTCTGGTTCCCACAGCTTCCTGTTTTCATGTATTATTGTGGAATCTGTCAGTTCTTGCTTTGTATTCTTACAGGGCTATCATTCTTTCTACACTATGTATTTATACTTATATGTGTTCTTATTAGCAAGTTAAATATGTATCCTTAAAGTAAAAATATAGTCATTGTTGGGTGTATGGAGTTTCATCCTAGAGGAGACAATGCACATGCTCACATGCCAGTAATTTCTGCCCACAGGCAGACTTCACACTCCTTTATCCCCTTTCTTCTTTGGCTAGGCCTACTAGAAAAAGAAGCCAGGCGAAGGAGGATTATTTTGAACCAGAATCAAAAGGATACCCTTTGTGCATCCTTTGAAAAGAATCCCAATCCTGATTTAGCTACAAGGGGACATCTGGCCAAAGAACTTGGAATTTCAGAGTCTCAAATTATGGTAGGTATTAGGCTCCCCCCCCCCGCCCCCAATTAAAGTCAATATAAAGAGAACAGCTAGCTTTTTTTTTCGGTCTTTTTTTTGAGTCAGGATCTCCCTGTAGTCCCAGATGGCCTGGAACTCGCTATGTAGACCAGGATGGCTTTGAGCTCACAGAGATCTGTCTCACTCTGCCTCCTTGGTGCTGGGATTAAAGGGGTGTGCCACCACGCCCAGCTGAAAAGCTAGGCTTTTCTCATAGGAGATAAGTCATATTTTGAGAAATACAGAATATAGGAAATTAAGTTATCATCATAACTTAGAACTTTACAATGTTAGAGTATATACTGTGGGATAAAACTGCCATAATTTTAGCTGGGCATGATGGTGCACGCCTTTAGTCCCAGCACTCGGGAGGCAGAGGCAGGTGGATCTCTGTGAGTTCAAGGCCAGCCTGGTCTACATAGTGAGTTCCAGGACAGCTGGAGCTACAGGGAGCAGGGAGACCCTGTCTCAAAAAAAAAAGACCCCCCCCCAAAAAAAACTGCCATAATTTTGTGAAAAAATAGGGGAGTAAAATCTGATGAGAAATTCTGGTTTGTAGACTGGTATTTTTTTCTCTTTTAATCTTTTCTCATTTATATGATTATAATTTATTTATTTATTTAATTTATTTATTTTTTGGCTTTTTGAAGCAGGGTCTCCCTGTAGCCCCAGCTGGCCTGGAACTCACTATGTAGACCAGGCTGGCCTTGAACTCACAGAGATCCACCTGCCTCTGCCTCCCGAGTGCTGGGACTACAGGTGTGTGCCACCACACCCAGCTATGATTATGATTTTTAATTCTCTTACAGTTTCATATGTGTATATAATATATTTTGATTAGCAGTTCCCCCTCATTCCCCTCTCTTAATCCTCTTCCACTCCCTCTGGAAACTTCTTTCCAACTTGACTTCCTCCCTCCCTCCCTCCCTCCTTTCTTTCTCTTTCTTTCTTCTTTCTTTTTCCCTCCCTCTCTCTTTCTTTCTTCAGTGTCTCTCTGTGTAGCCCTGGCTGACCTAGAACTCACTATGTAGACTAGGCTGGTCTCAAACTCTCAAAGTGCCTGTCTCTGTCTCTGAATGCTGGGATTAATGGTGTGCACCACCATGCTTGGCTTTCTTTCCTCCTCTTCCTTGACTTCTTTTTTAAAAATAACCTACTGAGTTTCCTTAGAGTTGCTTGCATGTGCATGGATGTAGGGTTACTTACTAGGTCATCGGCAACTTTGGTTTTGTTTTTAGGCTGGTCTTGAGCTCATTATGGAGGTCAGCTTGGCCTCAAACTTTCTATCTTCTTCAGCCTCTGGAGTGCTAAGATTACAGGTGTGTGCCACCATTCCTGGAAGGGTAGCATTTCCTTAGTACGTTTAAGCTTTACTGTCTCAAATATGATTTACATATAAGAATTACATAAAATTCTATAATTCTATAGTTATTTTAAATAAAATTGTTGATGAAGATGGGCTTTAGTTAATAAAGTATATAATTCTACCAAGTGAATTGGTACTTAAACCAATGAAGATAAACAACTTTTAAACCTTTAAGCCTTTTTTTTTTTTTTTTTTTTTTTTTTTTTAAGCCCCAGCTGGCCTGGAACGTGCTATGTAGACCAGGCTAGACTTGAACTCAGAGATCTGCCTGCCTTTGCCTCCTGAGGGCTGGAACTAAAGGCCTGCACCACCACGCCCCTGCTAAACTTTTACACCCTTAGTTCAAGTTTTCACGCTTGATACAGATACAGCCCCTGAATAACCGTTTGCTATAATGCCTTCAATCTTTAGAAATGCTGTGGAGAAGAAAATTTTCTTGTGTATGGACAATCTGTTCCAGGCACGGGAGAGTTGACACAGATAGCACTAATGAAATGGTTTCACGTGGGAATACCTGTGACTGGCTGCCTAGTGCTAATGAAATGGTTTCATGTGGGAATACCTGTGGCTGGCTGCCTCAGAGATGTTGGGACTGATAAAGACCAGAACCAGAGTGGGATATCTGTGGCTCAGAGAGCATTCAAACTTACCCATTAGTTGAAAGGTTCCATCTGTTCATAAGATTTTAATCTGAAAGCTTATTTTGATTAATTAATCTAGAGAACATGTGTCTTTGAGAACATGTATCTTTGAGAACAATGCCCAGAATGTTGTGAAATGTTTTAAGATCACAATACCTATGCCTAGCAACTTAGTTAATGCTGATTGTCAGTAAAATTACAAATGTTAGAGTGAATTATCCAGGCTGGCGTTGAACTCCAGATCCTCCTGCTTCTGCCTCTTCAGCGTATCCTACCAGTGTGGGCCACCACAATTGACCCTAGTAGACTCTATTTCTGGCTTCCCCTGAAATGAAATAAGATATAACTAGAGATGTGTGTTAGCACAGCAGTTTTCTGTTATCAATTCTACTATTCTAGTTAAAGGATTTATTTACAAAGATTAATTCTCTATATATTGTATGTTGTAAAATGGTATTTTCTGTGAAGAGATGAAGACCAAGAAAGAGCATTGAATACTTCACCTACTTAACCAGTGTGAAGTGCGTGTGTGTGTGTGTGTGTGTGTGTGTGAGAGAGAGAGAGAGAGAGAGAGAGAGAGAGACAGAGAGAAAGACAGAGAGAGAGAGACAGAGAGAAGATGGAGAACGAGAGGGAGAGTATCTTAAATCTGGGGCATTTACTGTGGGTACCATCAAAATGACCATAGATGCCATGCTAATTTGAATGCCCATCAAGTGTTGTCTTGAGTTTCCTGTTGGTATTTTGAAATTAAAAATAACACTCCTGAAACAATATATTTCTTTCTCTTATGGATGTGGCAGATGTTGAATCAGTTTTGTTTGATTGACACTTGGAGTGACCTCCTTCTGTCCCCTCTACTCATTTTCTTTTCCTACTTAGACTTGGTTTCAAAAGCACAGAAAAATACAGAAGCAACTGGAGTTTGAATGTTGCTTAGAAGAATGTGAAGTCCAAGGACAGGATAGACCTAAAGGTAAAACGCCACCAGTCCAAATGTAATTCTGTCATAGATTTCTTTGGAAGTGGAAACAACTTTGCATGTTGTAGCCAATGTTCTGTAAAGAATGCTTAGAAGCTGAGCATGGTAATGGTGGGCACATGTTTAATTGCAGTATGAATCAGAGGCAGGGGATCTCTGTGAGACTGAGGTCAACCTGGTCTACATAAGGAGTTCTAGGTTAGTTAGGGCTGCAGGGAGACACTGTTTAAAGGGGGGGAAAAAAAAGCTTAGAATAGGGACCAATCATAGCATGTTGTGGATATTCTAGCATCACTGGGTATGGTGGCTACAATCCCAGCCTTGGGAGAGAGAGGCAGGAGGATCATGAATTCTCGGTCAACTTTGGCTACATAGTACGAGGCCAGTCTTCCCTACATGATATCCCGTCTCAAGCAAAAAAAACAACACAAAAAACAATCAACTATCTTACTGCATAGGGGGTGGGTAGTTTCTTAGCAAGAAATACTTTGTACTTTCTATTTCTGCTGCTACTGAGTGGTGCTGTGACCTGTCACTTCTAGGGTTTCATCTGAGGGACAAGACAGGTTAAAGAGTTCCTTGGGGGAGGAGAGGTGGGCAGTGTGATGGCCCATGCCTTTAATCCCAGCCCTCGGGAGGCAGGCAGATCTCTGTGGATTGAGGCCAGCCTGGTCTACTTAGTAAGTTCCAGGCCAGTTGGGGCCACCCTGTCTCAAAAAACAAAACAAAGTGTGTGTGTGGGTCGGGGGGGAGGTTCAGAAAATAAAAGTGGTTAGGACAATATTCAAAAGTTTGTTTTATTCAGCTGGGTGTGGTGGTACAGGCCTTTAATCCCAGCACTTGGGAGGCAGAGACAGGCGGATCTTTGAGATTTCCATAGTGGTTTCTATAGTGAGTCCAGGTCAGCTGTGGCTAGAGGGAGACCAAAAAGACCTTGTCTCAAAAAGACCAAAAAAAAAAAAAAAAAGTTCTATTCAAGTCTGTGAAAAATTGGCCTACAAGCCTTGTGCCCATGCTCTCCTTAGCTAAAGAAGCCGGAAGAACGCGTACACATTTCACGAGATTTCAAACAGATATCCTAATTGAAGCTTTTGAGAAAAATCGCTTCCCAGGGATTGCAACCAGGGAAAAGCTGTCTAAGCAAACGGGCATTCCAGAATCCAGAATTCATGTAAGTTCTATGTCTATAGCATCCAAATTGTCCTAACTAGAAGTGGCTTCCCTTCTAAGCTGTTCTTGGAATTGGCTTTCAGCTCTAGGCATGGGATGTAGTTATCTTGCATTGCAAACAACAGTCTAGAGAAACGGTCACTTCTGTCTGGCAGAAGTATACTGGGTAAGAAATAACAGCTTGGTGAAAGTGGGAGAGGTGCACATATTTTGAGAACACAGCTCTTGCTAGAGTTTCTAGTCCTCGGCAGCATTATTAATTGAGATGATGAGGGTGTTGTCCTGCCTGTTCTGGGATGCTAGTCAGCATCCTGGCCCTCTAGGTACTAGATGTCATACAGAACCAGTCCTCAGCCCACCACTGACTCTAATAACCTGGGTAATCTAGGACACTACCAATGATGTGTGCAAAGTCTGAGAACCCTGTTCTTTGTAAATTGTGGAGCTTGTTTTCTGATGTACATTGAGTGTGACTTGTTAAGTGTGTCCTGGCTGTGGCTCTGTTGTAGTAATCACACACCTGTCCAGAAACCTCGTGTTCTTAAGAGCTTGGTTCCTGAGTCAGTGCTGTGGATCAGAGGGCAGATTCTACACCTTCTACCTTTTCAGTCAGAGAATTACTTCATCCATGGTCACGTGCGATGACCTCTGTCATACTTAATCTAGATTTTCAACTTAATTAGATTGAGAAATACCTCTGAGATGAGTGAGGCTCATCCCCAGGTGGGTCTGTGAGGGTGTTTCCAAAGATCATTAGATCATAAGATCTCTGAGCTAATCACTCAAAAGAATCTATTCAAAATTTGAATAGATTATTGGGAGGTGGTAGAGCTGTGGAAGGTGGGGTCTAGTTAGAGGAAGTAGGGCATGGTGGGGGCTGCATTCAAAGGGTTTAGCCTCTTACCCCTTCCTTTTACTCTTCTGCTTAGCAAATTATAAGAAACAGGTGGACTCACTTACGTGTTCTAATATTTTGTTCTCTTTTTTTAGATATGGTTTCAGAATCGAAGAGCTCGGCACCCAGGCCCAAGACACGGGACTCACACAACAGCTCAGCTGTCTCAAAGCAGCCAGGGTCCTGCTCTGAACAGTGCCGGACATTTTGCTCCTTCCAACACTCTCACCAGTACCTGCTCACTTGGGCCAGCTTTTTCTCCACCCCAGGAATCCTCCAGTCCTTTGGATCTCTCTAGAGGTCCTCCAAGGCAGTTACTGAGGACCACCATGCTACAACCCTCGCAGAATGTGCTGGGAGGGGATGATGCTCATACTTCCTCAACACTTACTGGTCATTTGTCAACAGTAATAACTCTAGGAGAGGAAGATGTGTACACTCAGGCACCCATCTGGCTCCTAATCCAAGGAAAAGGCCAAGATCTCAGTGAGAACAGTGGCCTGGCTGTGCTGCCCTTGGGAGACTCTACTCAGGCTCCACCTGCTAATCAACTCTTGCAGGATTTGAACCAGAAAGACATACCTGCCTTTCTGCAATGCTGGGATGAATGGTTTCAATCAATGCTTGCTGAATGGATGCCAGACAAAGAATACTGGTCTCCTGAGCAGTTAGAGATACATTCATGTCAGATGAAAGTTTAACCAACTGTAAATATGTCTTATCAAGCTGACCAAACTCCACAGCAGTAGCTACAAACATCAAGCCTTTTCAGTGAATTCCTGTTGACCACAGATGTTCAGGAAAGGGCTTCACCATGTTGAATCTGGGTCCACAGGAAGATGACTGCCTGTGACTTAGCTTCTCGGAAGATTTTCAGGTTCTTGTTCATGCAGTGAGAAGCTCAGAGCTTCAGATTCACGTGTCAGGGCTCTGATCCAGGCCATCTTTCCTTGGATGCAAAATTGGTGGATTCATTGAACAATGAACACACTGAGCTCTGGAACAAGTTTAAGGCAAGAAGTAACATAAACCATCTGGAAACTCAAAGGGAACAATTTATATATATATATATA